CTCACCATCACAATGATCAATGCTGCTCATACATACATACTTGCCTTTTCATTTGTTTAATCTATCCTGAGTTCTCTCAGATGAAATACTCCTCAAATGAGCAATTAGAAAGCATTGCGCTGCAGCTGTCTCACGTTTTTTCTCTTTAATGGATTTTTCTCTCTAAGAAAAAAAATATTAGAGAAAAAAGGGAGGATTATAAATGGAGGACAATATCATGTGATTCTCCTGTAAAATTCAGAGAATGAGGGTGGAATGTCAAAAGCCTTGTCTGGAATCACTGTCAGCAGAGTATAATGGAATGAATGTTGGAAGCTTTTGGTTAAATATACAGAGGGTTCATTCCATTAGAGGGGTGTTGTTGTTTTTAAACAAAGCTTGTTCTAGTTAAGGTTGTCTGCCACACACTGATGTTAACTTTAGGCTCCATCTAAGCCTTTGCTTGTGGTAATGTCTTCTTGGAGGCTAATTTGACATTAACCTCTAGCTCAAAAATTTCAAAATGTAAATAGTCTGCAAAGATATGCTTAGGTAGAAATTTTCACACAGCACTCCATAATTCAATAACCTAATACATCATTCATTCCTACAGATAGTAATCCTCTATGATCACAGTAAAGTAGTATGAATTACCAGCTTGTTTTCCTTTTGAATTGAATGTATTTTCTAGATTTCAAGGTGATTTTCTTTTCAAAAGAGAATTGCAGGGAGGGGGGTTGCTAGTTTCAATAAAGGGGATTCCAGAACTGAACTGGAGCAGTGTTGATGCTCCATTGTGAACAATGGAATTTGTCACTAGTTGGTAGAAATACAGTTCAATTGGGAAAATTTAGAGAAACTGCTGCCAGGAAAGGTTAAGAACATGATCAGAATACAAAGGGATATTGTAGCAACTTTGAGACTAAGGGTCTTTGCAGACTGCCAGAAATAGTGCAAATTGAGTCCACCTTAACTGCCCTGACTCAGTGCTAGGGAATCATGGGAACTGTAGTTTATTGTGGCACCAGAGCTCTCTGACAGAGAAGGCTCAATGCCTGAGGAAAAAAAAATACAATTCCCATGATTCCCCAGCATTGAGCCAGAGCAGTTAAAGTGGACTCAATTTGCACTATTTCTAGCAGTCTGCAAAGGCCCTAACTGAACTAAAGACACTGGAGATTATCACCCATAGGATACAGACAGGAATGAAGCAAATCACTCCCATCCTTATCCTGTCCTTATCGTGCAATTGCTGCAAAGATTATCACACTTATCCTGTCCTCCCATCATTGAAGTGGAATTGTCCTGTCACTTTGTATTAATGGGAGTTTCCATTAATAAAAAGTGACAGGACCATTCCGCATCACTGACAGGAGAAGGACATGATAAGTATGACATGTGTAATAATCTTCATGACAATCACATGATAAAAACAGGATAAGGATGGCAGCGATCTGCTTCATTCCCATCCTTATCCTCCATGCGATAATCTCCATTGTAGCATAAGCTTTCATAGACTTGGGACTTTATCAACTGACCATGTTCTTGCTGCAGTTGTGTTAATGAAAGAAAGTGCATATCTACAGTTTGGGTGCACTCCCTATTGCACATTTTTTTTCAACAGCACAACTGAATTGTTGCTAGTCCCGTGCACTCTCTTCTGCCCTAGTCCTTAACCCCAGCTTCCTATTTATGACCTACCCAACATGCCTTTCATGTATATGTGTGTTTACACAGGTCCAGAGTTATGCTAATGTGATTTAACATATTTATTTTTAAATCAGTGCTGTTCTGGAATAGCAAGGGGGATGGGGGGAGAGGAGACACTGACATCACATGACTGCACAACCCCAGTACTGCCATGGGAGGAACTTATCTCACCTGAGGACTAACACTGCACCAGCACAACTGCAAGCTTATTGACAGGTATCACCCATCACAGGCAAGGTATGCTCTAATAACTCTTCGGGAGCAAGGCAGTAATGAGATGGATTCAGTATTGTGCAATAGGTATAACCAAAGGCACTATATCCCAACTTTTATGGTGGTTTAAAGGCGACATATGATAAAGTCTTTGGTCTACTTCCTCAGATACATGGAGGTCCAATGCATAATTCAGCGATAATCCAGTTTGAGACTGTTTTAACTACTCAGTGCTAGGGAATCCTGGGAATTGTAGTTTATTGTGGCACCAGAGCTCTCTGACAGAGAAGGCTAAATGTCTCACAGAACTACAGTTCCTAGAGTTCCCTAGCACTGAGCCAAGGCAGTTAAAGTGGTCGTGAACTGGATTATTTCTGCAGTGTGTTTTGGACCAAAGTGAACTAGTTTCCAGGAAGGATCTTTATAATCAGACTGTTTGAATAGCCATAGAAATGCACAAGAAACTTGTAAGCATGGTGATGAGGTAACCAGTTCAGTTTTAATGGTCACTGAGGGACAAAGGTAGGAGGAAAGATGTTGCCTAAGGCTATGGTGGGTGGATGACCATATGAATGGTTTTAGGCTTTTAAATAAGTAACTAAAAAGCCTGCTGGAATTTTGTTGTGATCTGTAGGATACTGATGAAATTCGAAGCAAAATTGTTATGTTCCCCCCCCCCCCCAATTATTTTTAGCAGGAAGTTTTTAGAGTTGAAGTATGAGGGACAACAACTTGGCATATTCACAGGAAATGAATGGTATAGCTAAGTTTATTGTTAAGATGCATTGGATGGGTTAAAGACAAAAGAAAGCTAGCTCTTCTGTTCTGCCCTTCAAATGCATTGGCTGAATCATTATTTTTAGCTTCCTCACCCTTACATATTAAATTTGTGGCACTCCTAAAGTAGTGAGAAATGGGAGTCATATGTATTCTTTTCCATACCATGCTCCCATTGCTTCGATAGAGGGGTGGGATGGAAATAAATTATTATTATTATTATTATTATTATTATTATTATTATTAAGTATATTCAAATTCAACCTATGGGTTAAAGCTGTAATCGGATGCATATGTTGAGGGTAAAACCCATTCAATACAGTGGGATTTACTTTTAAATAAATCTGAATACAACTGGACTGTATATGCTGTGTCCTTTAATGAACTTGATGGGACTCTGTTTTTCAGCTGGGCCAGTTATCTTTCAAACTACCTGCAAATAATTCACAGTTTATTAATCTGTATTTATAAGCCCTTACAAGAAACAATTCTAGTGCTTGACTGTGTTGCCTAAAGGAAATGAGAGCAGCACACATTCATCCTAACATCTGGTCCCACCTCCACTGCTTGAGTGATGCTTATAGTTCAGGCATGATGACAAAATATAGAATTTATCTGTCTACTCTACAAAATTTAATTATTCCCCACTAGATTGAACCAATTATTTAACATAGCATCACTCTAGGCA